TTAATTAATAAAGATAATTTAATATACTATTTCTACTTATAGTTATTACATTGCGTTCATTCATCACTTGGGCAATCTCGCTGACAGCGATAATTTCGACCGTTTAATCCAATAATATGAAGTTCGACTCGACCGTATAATCCAATAATATCTCATGATGTTCGACTAGCTTAGGAGATTTAGATTAGTCCAAAGTCGATACGATATACTAGGCTAACAATGTGAAATGATCCTCGTAATAAAAACGTATCATAAAAGTAAATATAATGTGTAATAAGCATTTTAACCAACGGTATTGGTAAAACTACCGTTAAAGCGTAGAAGGCGTTTTAGAGGTAACGGGACACAAGCCTTGTTCTCTCAGATTCGCAATCCAGGCACGCTAACCACTAGGCCATACATGGCCTCTATATGTATACATAGAAGTTAACTTTACTTTTCCAGATATATGCCAAAGGAGTGACATCTATGTCACGAAACCAGTAAATAAAAGTTAGTTAAATATTTCGATTTTAAATAACCTACTATATTAGATAACCAATCGCCCTATACAGGCAGGTACAAAGATGATCTGAAATTTAACAATAAACTTAAGTCACTAAATCAAATAAGAAGGTATAATGCTTGCTACCACCGGAAAAAAACAACAACAAAAAACATTCGTAAGACATCGATGAACTAAAGGCACTGTACTGAACTACTTATTCCTAAAATACATGTTTTTTTGTTTTTTTAAGACAGCATTGGAGTTATGATGGTAGATTTTTCCGAACAAATAAAAGCTTTAGAAACGTAACAATCAACTTGAGATGCCAGGTTCATCTGAATGAAGAATAAATAAAACTTTCAAAAGCCAACAATGAACTTATGTTGTTAAGTATTTCCGAACAAATACAATTTTCAAAGGCAACAATGAACTTATGGTGCTAAATATTTTTGAACAAATCAAAGGTTTTTAAAGCCTAAAATAAATCTCAAATGAATATAGTAAGCGCAACATTAAGTATCTGTCTTCAATGACAAGAACTATGTTTCAAAACGCTTCTGTTTCAATAAAATATCATAAAGCGAAATTCAGGGGTGAAATTCTCAAAAAAATTATAGGTATTCAGCTTGGGGAAGTGGACCTGTTTTTGAAAAATAAAAAAATCAACGTGTAAACATAAAAAACAACAAAGTACCTCAAATAAGTCCCAGTACTAGTACCGACTTAAAAATAAGTTCCGGTACTCAGTACAGGTGAGTACCGGCAGAATTTCACCCCTAAAACGAATAATCTATTCTTGATTTTGATCATTAATTCAAAATGATCATTATCTGTTGTGTTTAAGCAAACTGTTGTTCTTCCGCAGTCTTGCGATTACAAAATAGTACAAGTTTGTATCATTATACAGTACAAATACAGCTTATCCAAGATACGTTCAATCCTTTAACATCAGGCAATATGAAATAATGGAAGATCATGGAATGGTGGATAAGTTTATGAAATACATAACTAAAACCGGACCCATTAGTTGACATTGCGAAATCTGTATTGATTGTATTTTAATCACGCCCAGTGTCACCTGAGATCACGCGGGAAAGATGATTTATACCATAGAACTCCTCTGCGTTTAAAAATCTTAAGTTTTTCAGGAAATTCAGGAACACCTCCTGTAATGAAGTAAAAAAAGAAGATATTTATCACGCACCCCGATTTTAGGAGCACAACAAGAAATATCTTGAAAATAAAAATTGTATAATCGCACCTTTTTTTTTCACTTACAATCTTCCAGTTTTGCCTGTTACAGAAATACATGAACAGGTAGAATATTCAGGACATTACTCAACATAATAGATTTTGTTTCGAATGAAACAAAGAGAAGCACATAAAGTAAAAACAACAATAACATTTAAATCAAATGTCAGGCTCGATTTTGGTTAACACAAATTCATGAGCTTGTTTAGAAAAACACTAATAAGAATAAGTTAGAAAACAAATCCTTAAGTAGGAAAACTAACAGTAAGAGGAATCCTGGAACTTAGTTTATACAAAGTTTTGAATTTGGATTAGTACAGGAGTACGACGTACTTACATGAGAAGTTACCAATAAGTAAAAACATGAAACTCAGTTAAAATTATTATTATTTTTTTTAATCATTTGCAATGGCTTGACGTAATGGCACAAAGTATTACTATGAAGTATATAACGCAGCTTGGATTAATGCTGGATTATTATGTACTGTATATTGATCCACTCTTCGTGCTCTAGACTGTAATGCCACAGAGATTTGGATCAATATACAGTACATAATAATCCAGCATTAATCCAAGCTGCGTTATATACTTCATAGTAATACTTTGTGCCATTACTCAAGGAAGAAAAGATCTGTCTTCGTGCTCTAGACTGTAATGCCACAGAGTTTAGATCTTTTCTTCTGCTGGCCACTTGGAAATTGTAGTAAAATACTGTACCGTAAAGTTAATGTTTGTTGTAGTATTTTGCTTTGATAATTTAAAGAGGTCTTTTGGTAAACTTTCAAACTGCGCAGAAGAATTTACAACATTCCAACATGCCCTGCAGCTCGTTTTCAGATAAGCAGTCAGTTTACTCACTTATCACGTTTGCAGGAAAACTTCTCATATTTATAGGTATACAGTCAATCTAGTTGCTTGTCATGTCTATAGATACGCAGATCAATCACTCTTCCCTAGTACAATACACAAACGTTTACGATATACATTTATAGGATGAGAAAAACTGACACCACCGATCGTGTCGCTGCAGCTGCAAGCCGTTGCGCCATTGGCGGAAAGTTTGGCATCCATATATTTGGTTAAAGGCGAGTTCTCGACCATTCGCCAGTACAATACAGCCATGATAAGATTAGTTGAGGAAGGGTATTCTGTGACCAAACAACTAACAACTGGTAGCCAAAGAGCACATCTATAAGAGTGTAAGCTACGAAGATGTAAAACCACGTAAGTATAACTCCATTACACTCATTAATGCCGCAAACTGGTTGAAGGAACCCTTATTCCCATTTAAAAAGTAATTACTAATGAATTGCACAGATCCTAGCAAACTTGGTACGAGTTAATTCATAAAGATATTGTCTTTCTACAGGAGCGTGAACTACAAGTGCAGAAGCTTATCACTAGATACGTTGATAAAAAACAGAAGCTGTATGAGGAATACATTACATGGACGCTTGTCGCAACAGTGGACAACTACAACAAGAAATAGGCGACCGATCTCTGATAAGGACTTTCCAACATGTTTACAGAGAATGTCAATAGGTTTTTCGTCAGACTTTATGATTGCCTCAAATGTTTCATGTAGTGATAAATTTAGTGTTCACAAAGACAAAAGTAAATCAAAGGTGAACTCAAGTTACTATCGAACAATGTATTGACACCAGTTATGTCAAATGAACTAGCTACACAGTGTAGTCAGGTCGCCAAGTAGGTATGAACAGCACCAAGACATACACCTAAGTCCACAGCAGCGATTATACAAGCAACGTAAAATGAGACAGGTGCTCATAATATCCACTTCTCTGACATGTCTGTAAAGTCACGTGACTATACATCAACAGATTTCCTTGCATTTGTTTTGCTTCTCTGGCAAGTCTATAAAGTCACGTGACTATGCATCAACAGATTTCCTTGCATTTGTTTTGCTTCTCTGGCAAGTCTATAAAATCACGTGGCTATGCATCAACGGATTTCCTTGCATTTGTTTTGATTCTCTGGCATGTCTATAGAGTCACGTGACTTATGCATCAACGGATTTCCTTGCATTTGTTTTGCTGATTGGACGCCAACGTCTACGTAAAGTGGGAGGTTTGTGGAAAGTTATTAAGTTGTGAGGTCTAAAATTGGCTTCTCTGTTATTCACAGAAGCTTGTAACAATGGATATTAGTGCTAAGTAAAATGCACAATCATATCTAACAGACCGAGCACTATAGAAGATGAAAGAAATAGTTCCAAGAACATAACGGGACACGGACATCGTTCTTGTAAAGTGCGGTTAACTCTCTGTAATATTCAACATATTAATATCATTCACTATTTGCACATTAGGTTATATTTACAACTAATCGTATAATATTTCCGTCATCAATAAATGTTTGGTCACCTTCAACCAATTAATTCCCCAAAAGGGGACCGAAGTCCACTTGAAGAGGTCACCTGTTTTAACCACTCGCACCACTATATAGTAGTGTGTTGTTTGTCAATCAGTCAGTAGACACTAAAATGACGTCAGTAAAACATACGCATGCTGTGAAGCACGAGAAGAATTATGCACTCTGTAGGCTACAACAAAGCATTACATACGAACTTCAAAAGCAAGAAATAGAAATATTTGTTACTCTTAATTTTGATGTTATTTATTTTTGAAACATAACACTTTCAGCGACCCTGCGGAAGTACATCTAGTCTTATAGTACATCATTCGGTACTTATGCTACATTATTACCATCATTACTTATTTATATCCGAGTGTCGACAAAAAAGAAGGTATTGTATATCAAATTAGTCATAAACCAATTTTATCCTGGACCAGATAATACGCATTCAAAAAACGCGTTCATTGGTACCTTTATAAAATAGTCTATATTAGCTGGAGTGCCAGTTCCCGGGACGGAAGTTATGTAAATTCATGATTAATGACAAGGTTATCTTAGGACGTGAAAAGTTACTTCCATTATGTGTAATTGTAAAAAACGCACATAAAAGCCACAAAACATAAAATGTGAAACCGCAAGTTTGCAGGGGGCGAAGTAGTTGTAAAAAACGCCCATAAAATTCGCAAAACACAAAATGCAAAACTGAACATTTGCATGTATCTCTGCACGGAACTAACAAATCTTCATGCCAAATTTGGTGAAGATACATTCACACCCTGCGAAGTAGTCATATGGACAGACAATAGACAGTACTATTATATATATATATATAGATAGATAGATAGATAGAGATTATTGTAATCTGAAATAAACTTTCTAATACCTTTTACAATATATTCTGTAGCCTTTGTAGTCGTTTAGTGTAGTTATCAAGTAGTTCCCTGATCTCATCAAGGGAGTATTCATCCGCCATGTCGTGAACTGTTCTATTCAATGCATCCCTTCGTGTTATGTTGGCTCCCATAGAGAGAAGAAGATTACAGCAGTCGACATGATCACTAAAATATGAGAAAAATATTATATTTACATAAATTAAAAAATAAATTTCCCAACATTTTCTTCGTATCTCCCTCTAGGAGGCACAGTGGTAAGACAACCAATGTGTAGCTTTGGACTTAACAGTAAAGAAACTAACAAAAATTTCTTCCTTATCTTATAAACTGAGTATAATGTTTTCCTGAGAAACAAAATATTCTAAACCAACACCCTGGGGTGCCAAGATATCTCTTCTAAGTGCTGCACAGTATCCGGTCATGTGACCTCTTTGTCCAAGCATTAAAATATTCTGGTGTTACTAGAAAAAACTAATGTTAAAATATCAGTGAAATATATATATATGCATGTTTTTCTATAATTATTCAGAGTTTTTGGATACGAAACTGAAGCCATTGTTAAAAAGAGCAGGTTAAAATACAAAAGTTGAGTACATTATCTTAAAACGATTTTCGAGTCTCACCACGTCGTCACAGTCCACCTCGTCACGACTGGTCATGCTCTATTGACCATTTATCTTAACAATAGCTCTGACGTGTAGTTCCCATTGCAAAAAGCACAGTCTAAAACACATCCCTCTTACTTGCAAATTTTCCATAAGCCATGTACTGTACGAAGATGACAGTTTTCCAGCGACCTTTTCAACAGTCCGATCGCATACTTAATCTGTATGTATTCGTATAGAATACCATGAATACTTCAGCTGCTTGAATTATGCGACGGTTGAGGATATGTCATGGAAGCAGTTTGCGTACACGTGACTTGTGTCGCTTTTACAGACGGAGATCCTTCTTGGTTACGTTGCATACTATTACTTGGGGCACGTGGGCAGTTTCTGTCAATAATCTCTGTGTTCATGGATTCTCGCCCATGCAAAACACCACAACTTTGCATAATACGGTTAGAGTACGACTAATTGCATGTCTTTTTCTGGATGCTCCGGTTTCCCCAAGTTGACCAATATTCCTTTGTTTCCTAATGCTGTTAAATAAAAGGGATATCACCGTCTTGGAAATTCGAAATCCCCAATCTGAGTTTAATAATATTTTGTGTCGAAAACGACTGCTACATACTCTTTTAAAAAGCAATAAATTTTCAGCGGCATCAAACAATGTCAATATGCAGTTCTAATACATGCCGTTTTGCTGAGACTTTATATTGGCTGTGGTTGATTTGATGATTTGCAGATTTATAATCACTTTAATATAACGCATTCAATCCTCTGTACATATATCACAAGTATTTGTATCTTGCATTTATGGAGAAGCTATTATGGCTATTTTCCACCATTCCTATTATTAAACTACTGACCAAATGGAAAGCAGAAAGTCGGCAGCATCCTACTGCTTACCATCCACACTAAAGGATTGACTGTCACTCTTATAACGCATTCACAGCTTAAAGTGCAGGGAAAGTTTTATATTATATCAAGGAATCGAACCCGTCTCGTCAGCTCTGAAATCCAGAGCTCTACCTAAGGACTAATCCACGCCCCAAAATCACAAGTAGAATTTTACTAGTCGAAAAATTAAAGCATTTCTAATTACCTAATATAATTTACTCAATATCTTGAAATTCCCACCATTTATCCATTTGATTTTCAGCTTTTCAGTTTTAGTGTTTCTAAACAGACTTTAATATTGGTTTTGAGATATGAATAGAATAAAAACTAAGTCTGACAAAGACTGTAATTCCAAAGAATATATCAAACTTTCTTTCACAAAACGGGCCTGGGATGACATAATTGTTAGTGTTTCGGGCTGCAGATTGTAGGTTACGGGGCTCGAAACATGTTGCCACTGAATACGCTCTCCATCAGCTTAGGACGCTTTATCAAAGTCCATTCCGTAATTTGATTCAAAGAGCCAGACAACTCACCGTGGTGGCGGGCGCTACTGGCTGGCTATCATGTCAGTAACTCAAGATTAAGAACAACTATATCTGAATCCTAGGGACGTTTAACTAACAATGCCTGAATCCTAGGGACTTTTAGCCAACTATACCTAAATTCTAGGGACGTTTAACCAACGTACGTATAAGGTGTCGCTCAGGTTGAAAACTCCAAATTCCAACATTTTTCATAGTGAAGGAGTAAAAATTAAGATTAAACAACGCTAGTTACAAAGAAAATATGAAACACACTTTCAAAATGTACACGGGATAGCATTCTTTATCATTGACCTAACTGGGCTAATGAGACCTGGTACTACAAATATCAACTGGGCATGATTATCTTTCTGTTAATGTCAGCTAATTGTTCTTGTTAGAAATTATTAAACAAGTATTACAAACAAACAGATACTTATAGATAAACTACAACTTATAGAAAAATCAGTACACTTGTAAACAATATGTCCAAAAAGTGAAGAAGCTGTGTATATGGTTTCCACTCATGTGTCCATAAGACCACGAATAACTAAAAACGCGTATGCATGATGATACGAGAAATTTTGGTGCTAGGGATAATGAACTGCATGAATAGGATGTAATGATCCGATTTTATTTTTCTTACTATTCAAACGTACCAGAGTATAAATACAAGATTTCGCGTTTCGTTACTGCAAAATCGTGCTCCGCACTTTAGGGTCGTGAACGCGTTGTAAGAGAAACGGCCAAGTTCTTTTCTATCAGACAAAAGTGGTCTAAGAGTTGGCGATGGATACTGTTGCATAGCTGCCTTCCCTGTAGCCTATCAGTTCCAAATTAGAAATGGCTATTACAGATAACCCTTGTGATAACCCGCGCGAATATTTGAAGCCAATAACAACAATTTTTAAATGCTCCGTTTGTTCTTAAGGGGTTAAATTCTTAAAATTTATTAAAAAAGGACCGAGACAGCTACCAAACCATATTTCCACATTTTTCTATTTTGTTCCTACTTTATAGTTGTAAACTATAACCCTTTCAGCACGGGCTAGGTCTGTCGGACCAACCTCATAACCCTTTTGTGCTTGTTATAGTTTTCATGCTATAACTTTTAAATTAGTAAGCGTATGTTAACGAAATTTGGCAGATTATCAGTTAACATTACAATGCTTTCGTACGCAAAATATCAATTTTTTTTACTAATTCTTAAGATTTGTTAAGCAATGTTTTTCTTATACCTTTTTTCTTCTTTTCACATGTTACCTATCCAACACACAAAGGAATTTTCATTTTAAGATCAAAAATATTTCTATGTATCAGAAAATTTTCAAATTTCACATGCGAAATCTATATAATGTCCAGATAGTTATCAAACGTTTCATATTTTATCTGTTATTTCCACTAACAAATCTCTACGGGTTCGATGGATTTGACCGATCTCGTAATCAACATAAAAAAATAGGAAATAAACTGCATTCAATAATATATAGTTGACCTTTAGGCTTTACAAAGTAACCATTTCTTTGGTGTGTTTTAGTAGACTAGTATTTAGTAAAATACAGTAACATTTCAACTATTATACAT